ATGATGAGTATGTGAGTGACTAAGCATGTGAGAGAGCATCATCGATGATGCTGATGAGGTTGATGATGAGAGAGTGCGAGTGAGTGTGAGTGGGTGTGTGTGTGTGTTCCTGTCCTGTTCCTGCGCGGGGTGTCCAGAGAAAACAAGAACCCCACTTTGGATGTGGGGAACAAACACGTTGGGGAGGAGGAGGAGGAGGAGGAGGAGGAGGAAAAGGAGGAGGAGGGAGGAGGGAGGAGAGAGGAGGAGGAGAGGGAGGAGGATGGAGGGGGAGGAGGTGGAGGGGAAGGAGAGAGACGGGGAGGATGGGAGGGGGAGGGGGAGGGCGTGGCGGCGCGGGTCCCCCCAGGTTCCTCTTCGTCCTGGCCTCTCCTCAGCTCCGCCTCCCGCCTGTCGTTCGGCCCCTGCACCCCCATACACGCCGGTCGATGAGACTGGGTATTTATTGGTTTCCCAGATCCCGGTATGTTTCAAGCGCCTTCCTGCTTCAAGAATCGAGATGCTTTTGCTGTGTGTAGGAGGGCTTTTTGGCCCCTCCGATTCTATTTGTTTTACGTACTTCCTCCGACCGACGCGTCGACTTCTGGGAGACAGTTGGTCGGACTTGAGTAACATATCGAGGTTACCTTGGTGTTCTTCGTGTTTGTCGTATGTTATTGCGCAGCCTGCGGAATGGTTCCCCTCGGGGATCTTATGGTTTGGGATGTCCTTGGTCGGCGGAGAGTCTCATGATCTTGAACGGTGTTCTTCAGTCCTTGGTCCGGCTGTATTGGAGAAGTGGGGGCGCGATCGGAGAGGCAATAACGGTCAAACCTAAATGTTCGGAGCTCTCCCTGGATCTTTCGGATCGGCGCTGGGCCCCCCTGGCGGCGCCTCCGGCGCCGCCCCTGGCACGCTCCGCGCGCCAGCGAGGGGGGCCCGCGCGGATCCAAGAAATCCACGCGGACCTCCTGGAAGGTTGTGTTCATGTTTGTTCCTGTTGTTCTAATTGAAGGGAAGATGATTCAGGGCATACTGAAGAAGATTGGGAACATCTTTCAACTTGTGCCGATGTTTCTTTGTCACCCTGGGCCCCTTGACTCCCTGCATCCCTGGCCACATCTCGTCCCCCGCTCCTGTTGATGCTGCTGTTCCTCCTCGTCCGCCTCCTTCCTTGGTAAGGCTTCGTGTTGCGCAGAGGCAGCCCCCCCAGGTAGTTGCTGCTGGCCTCTACAGGCAGGCCCCTCCCTCCAGGACCCATTGGGGAAGCGCGCGCGATGCACGACCCACAGGACAGCAACAGAACGACGAGGACTGATGCCCCAGGTTCGAGGAGGAAATAGGGGTCGGAACGTGGGGCAGGAAAAGCGCGGAAGAGTGGCCGAACCGTTAACGCGAAAGCAGCCTGGAGACGTTGAAAGGGGGGAGCGGACGAGAAGGAAATAGGCAGGATGTGGAAAGAGGATGGGAATTTGCCCAGTGACATGATGGAAGCAGCGCTGCCCGCACCGTATCGCTCCGGCGCTGCACAGGACCAGCTGTTCACAGCCAGTGCAAGAAGCGAGCGAGGCCGAGCTCACCCGCCAGGTTCTTTGCTTCTTTTTTGCAGCTTGCAGTGCGGGAGCTAAACGCCTGCAGGCGCGCCGACAGCTTTCCGGGTGACACGCGGAAGGAACATCAAAGCTAACCTGAGTCCGCGTAGGGCGTCACTTTGCTGGGGCCACCCATCAGCCTTCGAAAGTGGCGCTTGTTTCGCAGTCCGCAGTCCCCCGAGTGATGATGAGGTCCAACTTGAATCCGCTCCAGCGCACCTAGCGTGTTTCCCTCCCTGTTCTCTCCCAGTCCCCCCGTCTCTACCATGCGATTGAACGGCTTCTGCGGCTTCCGAATAAGTGACGTTTTCATTATTGGGCGCCCGCACGGATTTCTCGGATCGGCCATGGACCCCGCAAGGGGAACGTAGGCACAAACACATAGAAACGCTGATTCCAATGAGCCGCGTTGGCAATTATGGGACATGGATCGAGAACGGCACAGCGCGTAAACATATACTTTCGGAGTTCCACCCGGGTTTGTTGGACCGGCGCTGGGCCCCAAAATGGTGCGTTCCGCCGCGCGCCAGGGGGGGGGGGGCGAGACAACCGTTGATTCAAGAGATCCGCTCGGACCTCCGAAAGCAGGTGTTTATGCTGTTTTTGGTTACCATTGAAAAACATCGGTCCGTCTATCCAGATGTATGTGGGCAGCTCTGGGCTGTCCCCCCCCCGCACCCCCGAAACATGACGACGTTTTAGCAATTCGTGGGCCCCTTCTCGGCCTGCGAGGTCTTATTGGGTATTTGCGTATGGCGTCACTCTAGTGGCCCTCCACCAGCATTCGAAAGTGACCTTTCTGCAACTCGCAGCCCCGAAAGGATGCCGAGGTCGAATCTGAAGTTGCGCATGGCGTCACTCCGCTGGCCCCCCCGCCACCAACCCACGAACATGGCGACTGCCTCGCTGCTCGCAGCCCTTCCAGGGAGCCCCTGGGCAGGACGGCGAGGCAGGACGGCGAGGTGGGAAGCGGGGAAGCGGGGCAGCAGGCAGATCACGAGGGGGGAGGACGGGAGAGGCGGGAAACATGAGGTCGCGACCGAGAGCTTAGCGCAAGAAGGTTGGGAAACGGTCAGCGCAATGAGAGGGGATGGGAGGGATATATCGGCACAGACACTTATAAATGTAGACTTCCATGGAAGCTGTTGTACCGAATGTCCATCGGCCCGTCCCTCCACCGTGCCTGCGTTGTGGGTTGTTCGTTGGGGTGTTTGCCTCTTGTGGCCCTTTGGGCCTCTTGGAGGCCTCTTAGGGGCCTCCAGGGCCTTTGGGGGACCTCTTGGGGGCCCCCTTGGGGCTCATGGGGGCTTCAAAGGGCCACGGGCTCGGAATGTCTGGAAAACGCGAGTAATACAAGTACAAATGGATAAGCTATGTTGCTTGCTTCGTGAGGCCCTCCGGGGAGGCCCCTTGGAGGCATCTTGGGGCCGCTTGGAGAGGCCTCCTGGGCCGTCTGAGGGCACTGGCCGTCTAGACGCGCTCCTTGCCCCTCGGTGGGGAGCTCCGCGAAAGTCTGCGGGTCGTTAGGGCCGGTGCCGCCGTCCCGGGGGCCATGCGAAACACTTGGGATCGCCAAGGACGCCCCGGAAATTGGTGGTCGGTGCCCGTAAGCATGGTGGCAGCAGCAGCACACTTGTGAGTCCCATGGCACTCCACGGAACTATTGCATTACATGGGAAGCGTGTCGAAGACCAAAAAAGTCCATGAACATAATCGGCGCTCCTCGCGGATTTCTTGGATCGGCGCTGGGCCGCCATTGGCGGCGCCTTCAGCGCCGCCCCGGGTGCGCTCCGCGCGCCAAGGAGGGGAGGTCCAGTGTTGATCCCAGAGGTCCGTTCGGACCTCCGAACGCTGGTGATCCTGATGATGCATCATGCTCTAGATGTGTCTACTTATCCAGACGTGCCTGGGCAGCTCTGGACTATCTCCTTCTGTGTAGGCCTGCTTCGAGTCCTCTCGGCTCGCATCAGCTTATCTGGCTTCCTTACAGCGGGCTGATTGGAGAAGAGGTATCTCGGGGGTGGACAGACCTCCTACCCTGACACGTCGATTAGTGAATTGTCCGTTTCCGGTTCTCGAGAGGGCGCCGCGGCCGTCATTTTCCAGGCTTGCGCCCGCCAAGTTTGGGCCCGAGGTCGTTTTCACTAAACCACGTTTTACTAAAGGGAGGTCTGTCCATCCCCGAGTATCAAGCCCTCAGGGACACCATGAGCTCCCTCCCGCCACTGTCGGCCTCCCCGCCAGCCGGTCTCCTAGTTAGCCTTTATGCTTGCTTGCGACTTCCCGTTTCCCCTCTCCTCCGCATCTACCTTGTCATCGGCCCACCCTGCCTCATCGCCCCTCACGGCTCCATTCCCGTATCTTCTCTTCCTCCCTCTTCTCTTTCTTCTACTCCCCATTGCCTCCCACTCCATTCGGGCACTCCAGGCCGCTTGCTTGCCTGTGTCTTCTGATCTCAAGATGCTGTTTTCTGTTACCACGGATCCTGAACTGGCGAAAGAGATTGTGGCCCGTGCGCGTGCGGCGATGGCGCGGAATCTTGGTATCGATAATACTGTGCTGCCGTCCTGGGTCACCATCTAGCGTGTCAGGGAGGGTCGTCAACAAAAAATTGCCCAGCGCGCCAACCTCCGCAAGGCCAGCGTGCGAATTCAGCCGATGCTGCCACCTGCGCTGGCTTCGACAGAAGTGTATGGCATCGGTGTCACCGGCTTCTCCACCCAGCACACATGTCGCCGCGCCGCTCATTCCTACGCGCGGCTTTGCGTCTTGGAGAGGCGCCTCGGCCACCAGTGCACTCGCCGCCTTTGGCGCGGTGGGCTCGCCGTGGGTTTGCCGCGATGCCGGCCGCGTCCACTTGGGGCGCGTGGCGCAGGGTATCGCCGTGGGTTTGCCGAGGTGTCGGTTTTTCGCTCGTTTGGGAGCGTCGAGAACAAAAGGTTCGGCGACAGATGCGAACTCAGGCAACATTATCATATAGCTTTTGCCACGCGTGCACACAGGTCTGTGGCAATGGATTTTTCCCACGGCCGCGTGCTGCACCCAGCAGTACTGGACCACACACGGAGGTGTTGACCAGGTGGGCGGTTTCTCAGCAGGATGGGGTTTGTCGAAATCAGCGCGCGCAGTCTCTCATATGGTTCGGGATTGACTCTTCAGCATCGTCACACGCTTGGTATGCCTCCTGGGATCTCGAGGGTGCGTGAGAGTCATCTTGATGACCCTGTCTGGTACACGGCGCTCGTACCTGATCCTCAGCGCTTGTTTCCAGCACCATGGCTTGATAATGAGTTTGTATTGGCGCGAGTGGGACGTCAAGGTGAAGTCTTGACCTCGCCTGTGTTAGGAGATGGGTCTGGCATACATCGGCCGTCTTTATTGACACTTCGATGTGGATTTGCTGTTGCCGCTGTGGATTGACCATCCCCTATGAGCCTCATCCTGGGCTGGTTCAGGCAGTTCCTGAGGCAGAGGCCCGTGCATTCCTTGCCTCCTTGCTGCACGCAGCACCTGAAGAAGGAGGGCGGTACCAGTATCATGGTGCCTGCCAGCGGGTCTTAGATACCTTCCCCCGCCCTCAGTCAGCCTCCACTGGTGGTGGGGCTATACGCTCCGATCTGTGGACTCGGAATCACACTGTTGCAGACGATAACGGCTATCAAACCTTATCACTTCACATAATTGTCTCCCATTCGTCTCCGCAGGATCGGTTGCAGCCGATGTGGTGCACCGGGGCTATCCAGGTCGTTGACGAGTGCGCTGAGAAGGGGGCGAACATGCCTCCTTGCGATGAGGCCGTTCTTGCCAGGCTGGAGCGCTCACGAGAAGTTGTCACTCTCTTGGGCCAGCACATCGGTGATGTGGCTTCTTCAGCATTGGCTATGCGACCTAAATGCGCACATAGACCAGCGAGTGAGGCCCCCATCCCACCCACGCTCTCTGTAGTTGGCCATTCCCGAGGTTTTCCCCACCAGATTAGTTATGATCGACGCCTTAAGCGCTACAGATGCCGCACTGGCTGGGCTTCGAGCAATACCAAGGTTGCCCTTGCTAGTGGGAGTTGTCCCGCCCATGACGGTTACGGCCATTCTTTGAGAATGACGGGGTCGCACAAATGGTGTCGCCCCTGCGCGGCTTACAGCTGTACTTTTTATTGCTACACACCTCCAACGGACATGTCGCGAGAAGACTATTGCCGATCTCGAGAAGGCCGCTGGAGCGTCTTCTCGCGCGTTTTGACCCGCGCGCAAGTGTTGCGATCGGAACGGTGACAATCTCTATGTCGGAAACCCATATTTCCACAATCCGTGAGGAGCTCCTCGAGGCATATACCGTGGGCTCCACGTGCCTGCATCCCTCCAGTCGGGGCCCGTTTGGATACAACTTTCTGCAATGCGCGCCCTGGTTCGTACCGCTCTTCTGGGCCTCTTGGCCCCAGGTTTCGCCTGCAGGCCAGCGCCTCTCTGCCCGGGCTCCGCGCGCGAGCGGGCGCGGCGCGCCCCGGGCGCCTCTTCGCACCCGCCCCGCGCGAGCGACAGCTGCCTTGTCGCCGTCGTCGCCGTGGCTGGTCGCGTCGCTGCGGGTGTCCCGTCGGTCGTCCGTCGTGTCGTCGCCGCCGTCGCCGTCTCGCCAGCCGCCCGTCGCCGTCGTCGTCGTTGGCTGTCTGTGTAGTTCTCCCTTTTCGTGGACCTCGTGCCCTTACGCGGGTGCGCGCGAGGCCAACACGGAATCCTGGAATCCCCGTTGCCTTCCCTCCTCCCCTTCGCCCCTCTCCCTCACTCTCTCTGCCATCCCTGACTCCCCTCCCCCCCTCCCCCCTCCCCCCTCCCCCTCTCCCCTCGCCCCTCCCTCTTCCCTCCCCCCTCCCCCCTCGCCCCTCTCCCCCTCACTCTCTCTGCCATCCCCGACTCTCCTCTCCCATCGCTGCCTTCCCCGCACCCCCTCCCTCGCCCAGCACTCCTTGACCCCCACTTCCTCCGCTCTCGGCCCCTCCTCGCCCCCCCGCTCCACTCCCGCTGGGAGCAGGACAATGATGGTAAGGAGGAGGAGGGGGAGGGGGAGAGAGGAGGAGGATGGGGAGGAGGAGGATGAGGAGGAGGAGGAGGAGGAGTAGGAGGAGGAGGAGGAGGAGGAGGAGAAGGAGGAGGAGGAGGAGGAGGAGGAAGTAGAGCAGGTTACCCCTGGGGATGAGGAGTGCGCGGAGGAGGAGGAGGAGGAGGAGGAGGAGGAGGAGGAGGAGGAGGAGGAGGAGCAGCAGCAGCAGCAGCAGCAGCAGCAGCAGCAGCAGCAGCAGCAGGCAGATGAGGAGAGGAGGACGAGGAGGAGCAGGAGGAGGAGGTGGAGAGGAGGAGGAGACGCAAACGCAACTGCAGAGCTGCGGCCAAAGGAGGCGGACAGGAAGGAGGAGAGGGAGGGGGGCAAAATGTGAGCAGAGCTCCGGGATGAGCCCCCCCCCACATGTTGGCTTTGGTGGGCACCCGCTCCAAAGTATGGCGTGTGCTGGGGACGCTGAGCAGGAGGCGGAGGAGGAGGAGGAGGAGGAGGAGGAGGAGGAGGAAGAGGAGGTAGGCCCTGAGGAGGAGGAGGAAGAGGAGAAGGAGGAGGAGGAGGACGGAGGAGGAGGCAGAGGAGGAGGAGGAGGAGGAGGAGGAGAGGAGGAGGAGGAGGAGGAGGAGGAGGAAGAGAGGGGAGGAGGAGGGGGAGGAGAGAAGGAGGAGGAGGAGAGGGGAGGAGGAGGAGGAGGGGAAGGAGGAGGAGGAGGAGGAGGAAGAGGGCGGAGGGCACCAATTCTCTAGGATAAAACGTCTCGGAGGGCCGCAGCCACAGCCATGGGCGGGGAGGAGGGGGACAGGGAGGCAAGACGGGAGGGATTGAGGGAGGTAGGGAGGCAGGGAGCGAGGAGGAGTAGGAGGAGGAGGCGGGAGGAGGCAAGGGAGGGAATGGGAGGGGAGGGCGGGAGGAGGAAAGGTGGGAAGAGGAGATGGAGGAGGGAGGAGGCAGCGAGGGTGAGGAGGAGAAGAAGAAGCAGAAGAGGGGGAGAAATGAGAGAAAGGAGAGGGCAGAGGGAGGAGGAGGAGGAGGAGGGAGGAGGAGGAGGAGGAGGAGGACCAGCCCTTTCTCCGCTCCTCAGGAGCAGCCCGACTACGCGACGCACCGCGGCGCCCTGAGGGACGTCCTCCGCCGCTCGGGCCTGGACTACGACCTGCAGTTCGACTGGGTCGACCGTGAGCGGCCCGCGGTGGCCGTCTTCGAAGAATCCTCCTCCTCCCTCTTCCTCCCTCCTCCTCCTCCTCCTCCTCCTCCTCCTCCTCCTCCTCCCTCCTCCCTCCTCCTCCTCCTCCTCCTCCTCCTCCTCCTCCTCCTCCACCTCCTCCACCGCAGACGCGCCAGCGGTGTGTGAGCTAGCGGCGAAGTAGGGCAACCAATTGTGGGAAGGCGTGGTTCGTGGCCAGACCAATTGTGGGACCGCGTGGCTCGTGCTCTTCTGCGCTTCGCCGCGTCGTTCTCGCTCGATTCCCATTCGCACAGCTGGAATGCAGGAACATGAGGTTCGTGAGTTCCTACAATTTCTTCTGCGCGAGATCGGTGTCACAAAGATCATATTCCCAACATCGCCGTTAACCAACATCGCCGTTAGCGCGGCCGTGGAAGAAGGAAGCACGGCATCGACATAAACTTTCGATACCTAGGGTTCAGTGGGGCATGTATCTCTACAGGAAGATTATTCAAAAGTAGTCAACAAATAGTGTAGGGACGATTTTTGTTAGCATTTGTGGAACAGTGTTGCCTATGTTTGGGGTATGTTTTATTGTTCGTCCAAGACCAGCCTGTGGGAGGATGCGCCCGACCTAAACCTACGGTCGGGATGTTTTGATTAGCGTTTCGCGCCGCTAGTTCTGGCCAACCGCACTTCGGCGCGACAGGCTGTCCACGTCGTGGTCCCCAGGCGTCAGTGTCCCAAGCCTCTGCCAGCCTCCCGCCTCGCAGAGCGGAGCGACACGCTATCCGCTCGCAGGGCGTAGCGTGTCGCCGGGGCCGCCGCCGCGACGCGCTAAGCAACACTTGCGACACTTGTGCGCGATGGGTATCGGAAATTGATGTGCATGCAGTTCTTTCCTTCGCTTTCGCCCTGTACGGCCTCTGCGGAGGCCCTCGTCCCCGCGGCTGGGTTCGCCTTGAAGCTCTCGACCCAGCGCACCCCGGCAGAGGTCGGGGGCGCAGCGGAATTGCGATTTTGCTTTGTTTCCCACGAAGTGGGGCCGATGCAACGCCGATGTATCGGAGGTGCGTCGGCCACGCGGTGCGATCCTTCGACTGGAGGGTTTCTCCGAAGGGCTCAAGCGGCCCGTCTTCTTCCTCTCTCGTCCTCCTCCTCCTCCTCCTCGATCTGCTGCTCCTCCTCCTCCTCCTCCAGGATCATCCAGTGGCTGAGCTGTGCCACGTATCGCACAGGCTAGCCACTTATCGAGGAGTTCTGTTTTGTGAAATCTGTGGGTGCCATGGTGTTGAGAACCCACGGCAAAAGCCTCTTACAAAAGCTGGCAATGAAGTGCTCAGCAGACTGAAGAGGGGATTACCGCCTAAGTCTGGTGGTAGTTTCCCTGATTTGTGAGATGTCTCAGCGTGCCCAGCCCTGCAGCAGGTCACCACGAGTAGAGGTAGAATAGAGTAGAACTCCTCCTCCTCCTCCTTCTCCTCCTCCTCCTCTCTCCTCCCTCCGCCTCCTCCTGTGGCCGAAGGCCCGAGTGTTGGAGCAGACCAACGGCATCACCGACGGCATGTGCCCACGCTGCCAGCTGGAAACAGAAACCCCATTCCATCGGATTTGGAAGTGCACCGCCCACCAGAAGTGCCCCGTGTACGACGCCACGGGACGCATGATAGGGGAGGCGACCGCACAACAGGACATGTACGAATGCTACTGGACGCGCGGCCTGGTCCCCTAAGCCTGCACGCAGGTCCCGCCACCAGCAGCGACCTACCACTGGACCGCACACGGCGTCGAGGCCTACGCCCCACAGTGCTTCGAAGCTGAGCGCACCAGTCCAGTCATGTTTTTTTTTGGCGACGCCAGCGGAGGGGCAGACACAGCTTCTCCAGTGCTGAGGCGCGTGGGCGTCAGCATCGCCGCTTCCCACAGCCTCAGCATCAACGACATGCACCTGGAGATGGCGATGTGGGGGGGCCCTGCCTGGCGACAGGCAAACGGTGGTCCGCGGCGAGCTGCTGGCCAGGCTCCTCGCCCTCCAGGTTTCCGACCATGACGCCGTGCACATTGCAGATTGCAAAGGATTCTACCTGAACTTCTACAATGGGCATCCCAGCTCGCCTACTGGACCAGACTCCGACCTCTGGCACCAGGTCGGAGTCGAGAAGGCTCGGCGATCAGGAGATTTCGTTGTTCTTTTCACCAACTCGCACGCGACGGGCGAGGACGTCGCCCTCGGCCACACAAATGCATCTGTCGCCTACGGCAACACTGTCGCCGACGAGTTTGCCCATGTTGCCGCAGAGAACCATCGAGATAATCGAGAATGATGCCTACCTCGTCCGCATGAGACTTTTGAGATCCAATATTGAAGCCTTCGGGTTCGAGAAGGCTCACTGTCAGACCGTGCCAGTAGGAAGCCGACAGCCTAGGAGAGCCAGAGCCCAACTTGCCCGCCCTCCTGCTCCCTCCCTGTGTGCCGCTTTTGGGACCCCCCCAACAGCTAGACGACACAGGCAGGAAATGTCTCAACTGTAAATGTTTCGCATCTGCTAGCACCCGTGTAGAATAGTACAAACCACAGTGTTTTCGCATCGAAAATATAGATGGCACTTATATGAGGCCCCCCCTGGGTAGGCCGGTTCATGCA